TTTTGGGGTATTTTGCCCGTTTTTGCCCGTTTTTGGGGTATTTTGCGCTGTTTTTGCCCGTTTTTGCCCGTTTTTGGGTCCTGGAGTCACCTGGAAGCCGGCCATGGCGAAGGCGGCCGCCATCTCGCGGTCGCCGTTGCTGCCCTCCTCGCGGAGCACGGCCACGCGCGGCCCCGGCGCCTCTGCGGGACCCGACCGTCGGCACCGGCGCCCCCGAACCCCGGCGGCGCCCCGAAATCCCGCACAGGGACAGACAGACGGACCCGCAAAGAACGACGGGAAAATCCCGGAAATCCCCGAAAATCCCCAGGAAATCCCCGAAAATCCCCGAAAATCCCCTAAAATCCCCCGAAATCCCCGAAAATCCCCTAAAATCCCCCGAAAATCCCGGAAAATCCCCCGAAAATCCCCGAAAATCCCCGAAAATCCCGGAAAATCCCCCAGTGTCCCAAAATGTCCCCAATGTCCCCAATCCCCCCAATGTCCCCAATGTCCCCAAAATGTCCCCGATGTCTCCAACATCCCCAAAATTTCCTCAATGTCCCCAATGTCCCCAAAACCCCCAAACCCCCAATGTCCCCCCAAAATGTCCCCAATGTCCCCAAATCCCCAATGTCCCCAATGTGGCCAAATGTCCCCAATGTCCCCAAATCCCAAAATGTCCCCAATGCCCCAAAATGTCCCCAATGTCCCCAAAATGTCCCCAATGTCCCCAATGTCCCCAATGTCCCCAGTGTCCCCAATGTGCCCAAATGTCCCAAACACCCCCAGTGTCCCCAAAACCCCCAATGCCACCAATGCCCCCAATCCTCCAAATGTCCCCAATGTCCCCAAATCCCAAAATGTCCCCAATGTCCCCAAATCCCAAAATGTCCCCGATGTCTCCAACATCCCCAATGTCCCCAATGTCCCCAATCCCCCAATATCCCCAGTGTGGCCAAATGTCCCCAATGTCCCCAAATACCAAAATGTCCCCAATGTCCCCAATACCCCCGATGTCCCCAAAATGTCCTCAATGTCCCCAAATGTCCCCAAATCCCCAATGTCTCCGATGTGGCCACATGTCCCCAACACCCGCAATGTCCCCAAAACCCCCAATGCCACCAATCCCCCCAATCGTCCAAATGTCCCCAGTGTCCCCAAATCCCAAAATGTCCCCAATGTCTCCGACATCCCCAGTGTCCCCAATGTCCCCAATGTCCCCAATCCCCCCGATGTCCTCAATGTCCCCAAATGTCCCCAAAATCCCCAATGCCACCAATCCCCCCAATCGTCCAAATGTCCCCAATGTCCCCAAATCCCAAAATGTCCCCAATGTCTCCAACATCCCCAGTGTCCCCTAATGTCCCCAATGTCCCCAGTGTCCCCAATCCCCAAAATCCCCCCAATGTCCCCAGTCCTCCAAATGTCCCCAGTGCCCCCAACCCCCAATGTCCCCAGTGTCCCCAATGTCCCCAATGTCCCCAATGATGTCCCCAATGTCCCC